TCTCTCTCTCTCTCTCTCTCTCTCTCTCTCTCTCTCTCTCTCTCTCTCTCTCTCTCTCTCTCTCTCACGCACTCTCTCTCACGCTCGCGTTCGTGCATTCAAACATACACGCACTCCCTCTCACTCACTCACATCTACACACCACCACCGCCAGTTTGAGGAGCACGGGCGACTGTCTGTTGCGCCGGACTTTACGAGCGAACTGCTGCCTTCGCCCCACCGCGTACGCACACCGGGTGGCCTGCTTTACCACTTCACCCTCCACCACGTGTCCGAGGAGATGTCATTTGAGGAGCAGGTTCAGGAGCGCGCGTTTGCCCGCGGTGAGACAAACAGCTGTGTGTTGCTTTGTTTGTTTGTTTGTTTGTTTGTTTGTTTGTTTGTTTGTTTGTTTGTTTTTTGTTTGTTTGTTTGCTCGTTCGTTCGTCTGTCCGTCCGTGTATCTGTAACGGTGTGTGCGTTTGTGTGTGTCCGCTTTTCCGCCCGCCTGTCTGTCTGTGTTCTTGTTCTTGGCCCGTGGACTTGAGCACCACCTCCGCCACCACCCATTCCCTCTCTCGCACACACTCCCTGTACTCGGCCGTCTCAGAGTGGAGGCAGCACGCTGCTCAGAGTCTGCGCACGCAGATTGGATATGTGTTTGAAAAGCCGCCGCCACACACGACTGTAAGCGACCTAGGGGTGCACTGCAAGGCGTGCTGTGCTACTGCTTCTGCTACTGCTGTGCTACTGCTTCTGTGCTGCTGTGCTGCTGTGCTGTGCTGCCCATCATGCAATGCTGTGCAACCAACAGCTCCACATTTCTAACCTCACTCACTCACTCACTCACTTTCACTCGCTCACCCACTTTCACTCGCTCACTCACTCACTCGCTCACATCCACTGACACATACGCACAGCGGTACCACGTTGGGGTGGAGGTGCGTGCGACGCGCGGGTTTGGGGGCGGGTGCTTCTGTGTGCTGACAGCAGCGGATATGGAGACGACCAACACCAACGAGAGCAGCACCGATCCAGATGAACTGTACGTCATTGTCAACCCGCAACGAGGAGGAGGAGGAGGAGGAGGATTGGGAAGCGCTTGCACTGTGCAGGCGAACATGTGTGCGTTTGTTCTGCGTGCGTTTTGTGTACATGTTGGAACGTACTTCGATAACGCCGCTCCTGCTTAGTTTTGCCGATTCTCATTTCACGTTTTCCGTGTTTTTGCAGAACATATCGCACTCAGCGCTGCACGACACGCGACGGTACGACAATCAAGATGCCCACTGTGCCGTCCTCCGCTTGCTTTCTTCTTTTTTTTTTTTCTTTTTTTTTTTTTGACAATACCCCCTTGCATGCACAGTCCTTTTCACTCTCACCTGCACGCACAACTGCACACACCTGCACACACTTTGACACGCACGCGCGCTATCATTTCGACTGCCAGGTGTTGCACACTATGGGTTGTGTCTTGAGCTGGAGAAGGATATTCCCAATGATGCCACCCCGTCCTCGCTTGGCAATCTGTACTTTCAAGTCAACTCCTTTGACACATTCAACTGCAGACGAGTCGAGGTGTGTGTGTGTGTGTGTGTGTGTGTGTGTGTGTGTGTGTGTGTGTGTGTGTGTGTGTGTGTGTGTGTGTGTGTGTGTGTTTGAGTGTTTGAGTGTGTGTGTGTGTGTTTGAGTGTTTGAGAGAGTGTGTGTGTGTTTGTGCTTTTTCCTTCACTTCCTCACTTCCTCACTTCCTCACTTCCTGACTTCACTTCGTCCCTCTCCTCCGTGTCCTGTTCTCCTTTTTCCCCTCCCCTTCTCTAACACCCTGACGTCTTCCTCTCAATGCGCCAAACCCCCGCCCGCGGGAATATCAAGGGATATGCGAGTCTGGCGCTGCCAGCCATCTGTGGCATGCGCGAGTATGCACTTCCAACGTGGAGGCCAAAGGGCACCTTGCAGCAGGAGCGCGAGTACGTTCCACGTGCTACTGTCGCCGCCAATTGCTGTTGCATGCCTGGTTGCGTTGTGACCCTTGGTTCATTTGCCGTTATTCGATTGATCATTGCCTTACTGTTGCGGCCACACATGTTGACGGCACACAGTTGTTTCTTTCTTGGCGGTGGCATTGAATTGGAGGACGACACGTTCATCGGCGGCCAACCAGCCACACACACCAAAGACAAGGTCTTTATGTGGTTGTGCGTGCGTGTGTGTGTGCGTGTGTGTGTGTGTGTGTGTGTGTGTGTGTGTGTGTGTGTGTACCGGGGGGACAACCGGTAGGACTTGAACGCCAAAATTACATTGCCTTCGTCTGGGATGTGGCGCTGATCATTTCAGATTGCTGGCCGATGGCATGAGGGGTTCCTCCGCCGGGTAATGGAAGTTTTGTGCTTGGACAGTTCGGCATAACCCCACACGTTTGCCACTTCCAGTTTCTTCGATACTCCATCGATATC